GGCCAACACATCCCAGCTACCGGGTGAGGGGAGGGAGGGGTCAGGGGTTAACCTGGAAGGGAAGGAAAAGTGTTAACTCCGGGCAAGAATCTCCAGGCAAGAATCGAGAGTCTGCGGAAGAAGGGTTGGGGGTGAGGGTCTCAGTGCGGGGAACGGGGTCCGGGAGGCCCGGTGTGGACGGCGGGCTGTCGGGGAGGGAAGAGGCCGGGCATCTCCTGGCGGAGGTGAGCTGGCGGAGGAGCCTGGCTTGGCGTTGCAGATCTGGCAGCAGCGACCTCGTCCCTGAGGTTGGGGCCGGCCGTGGGCTTGTGGTCCCGCCTCGCAGGTGCCCTGTCCCACCCGGCCCCTGTCCTCCGGTCCGCACTCCTCGCCCAGAGCGGGAGCTGGAAAGGGGACCCTCAGGCGAGCCCAGGTATTGCCTCCACCCCGCTGTGCGCTGCCATCTTGTGCCCCATTTTTTGATTGGGTTGTTTTTCTTCCTTTTGTTAAGTTGTATGAGTTCCCTATAAATTTTGGAGATTAAACCCTTGTCAGATAGAACATTGGCAAATATATTCTCCCATGCAGAGGGCTTTCTTATTGTTTTGTTGATGGTTTCTTTTGCTGTGCAGAAGCTTTTTGTTTTGATGTAGTCCCATTTGTTTATTCTCTCCTTAGTTTCTATTGTCTGAGGAGCTGTATGGGTAAAGATATAGCTGTGAGAGATGTCTGCTATTTTGCTGCCTATGGATTCTTCTAATATTTTTATGGTTTCCTGACTTACGTTTAAGTCTTTCATCTATTTTGAGTTTGTTTTTGTGTATGGTGTAAGTTGGTGGTCTAGTTTAATTTTCTTGCATCTATCTGTCCAATTTTTCCAACACCATTTATTGAAGAGACTGTCTTGACTCCATTGTATGCTCTTGCCTCCTTTGTCAAATATTAATTGAGCATAATGGCTAGGGTCAACTTTTGTGTTCTCTGTTCTGTTCCATTGATTTATATGTCTGTTCTTGTGCCAGAAACAGGCAGTTTTGAGAACAGTGGCTTTGTAATATAGCCACTTGTGATACCTGGTATTGTGATTCCTCCAACTTTGTTCTTCTTTTTCAGGATTGCTGCAGCTAAAGGGGAGAATTATTTATTCCATGTGAATTTTTGGAGAGTTTGTTCTAGGTCTGAGAAAAATATGCCGTTGGTACTTTAATAGGTATTGCATTGAATCTATAGATTGCTTTGGGTAGTATGGACATTTAAATGATGTTGATTCTACCAATCCATGAACATGGTATATACTTCCATTTGTGTATGTCTTCCTCTATCTCTTTTTACAATGTTCTGTAGTTTTCCGAGTACAGGTCTTTAGTTAGGTTTATTCCTAGGTATCTTAATTTTTTTGGTGCAATGGTAAATGGGATTTTTTTTTTTAGTTTCTCTTTCTGTGAGCTCATCATTAGTATATTAAAAAGGCATAGATTTCTGGGTTTTAATTTTGTATTCTGCTACATTACCGAATTCATTTATTAAGTCTAGTAGTTTTTTGATGGAGTTTTCAGGGTTTTCTATGTACCATAGCATGTCACCTGCAAAAAATGACAGTTTTACTTCTTCTTCTTTTCCAATTTGGAAGCCTTTTATTTTTTCTTCTTGTCTGATTGCTATGGCTGGCACTTCCAGTACTATGTCAAACAGGAGTGGTAAAAGGGGGCATCCCTGTCTTGTTCCTGTTCTTAGCAGAAATGATTTTAGTTTTTGCCCATTGAGTATGATGTTGGCTATAGGTTTGTCATATATGGCTTTTATTATGTTGAGGTGTGATCCCTCTATTTCCACTTTGCTGAGAGTTTTTATTAGGGAAGGGTGTTGGATTTTGTCAAATGCCTTTTCTGCATCAATTGATATGATTATGTGCTTTTTGTCTCTCAATTTGTATATGTGATCTATAACGTTTATTGATTTGTGAATATTGTACCATCCTTGCATTCCCGGAATAAGTCCCACTTGGTTATGTGTATGATCTTTCTAATGTAATGCTGGATCCAATTTGCTGGAATTTTGTTGAGGATTTTAGCATTTATGTTCATTAGAGATATTGGCCTGTAACTCTCTTTTGTAGTGTCCTTACTTGGTTGTGGGATTAGGGCAGTGCGGCAAACTGTGGCTTGGCAAACTGCGGCTCTCAAGGCACATGCGGCTCTTTGGCCCCTTGAGTGTGGCTCTTCCATAAAATACCTACTTCTGTGCATGGGCCACGATGTTTCAATCACACTGTACGTGCATGCCCGCATGTGGTATTTTGTGGTATTTTGTGGAAGAGCCACACTCAAAGGGCCAAAGTGCCGCATGTGGCTCGCAAGCCACAGTTTGCCGAACACGGGATTAGGGTAATGCTGGCTTCATAGAAAGAGCTTGGAAGTGTGCCCTCCTCTTGAATTTTTTGGAATAGTCTGAGGAGGATAGGTTTTAGTTCTTCTTTGAATGTTTGGTAAAATTCCCCTGTGAAGCCGTCCAGATCAGGGCTTTTGTTTGCTGGAAGTATTTTGATTACTGCTTCAATTTCATTGGTAGTTATTGGCCTAGTCATGTTTTTTTTTTTATTCTTGCTGATTGAGTTTTGGATGCTTGTATTTTTCTAGGAATATATTCATTTTGTCTCGGTTGTCCAGTTTGTTGGAGTAGAGTTGTTCCTAGTATTTTTTTTTTTTTACAATCCTTTGTATGTCTGTGGGGTCAGTTGTTACTTCGCCACTTTCATTTCTGATTTTGTTTATTTGAGTCCTCACTCTTTGCATCTTGGTGAGCTTGGCTAGAGGTTCATAAATCTTGTTTATCCTTTCCAAGAACCAGTTCTTGGTTTTATTGATCTTTTGTATTATTATTGTTATTATTATTATTTTTGATCTGTATGTCGTGTACTTCTGCTCTGATCTTTATTATTTCATTCCTTCTGCTTACTCTGGGATTTTCTTGTTGCTCTCTTTCTAATTCTTTAAGTTGCAGGGTTAGATAATTTATTACCATTTTTTCCTGTTTTTTTGAGGTAGTCCTATAGAGCTATGGACTGCTTTCACTGTCCCATAGATTTTTGGATTGTTGTGTTTTCATTATCAATTGTTTCCAGGATGCTTTTTATTTCTCCTTTGATCTCTTTGGCAATCCAAACATTGTTTAATAGCATGCTATTTATCCTCCAAGTGCTTGATTTTTTTCATTGTTTTTATTGTTGATTTCTAATTTTATGCCATTATGATCTGAGAAGATGCTTGATATGATTTCTATCTTCTTAAAGAGACTTTGCCTGTGTCCCAATATGTGGTCTATCTTTGAAAATGTCCTGTGTGCACTTGAGAAGAATGTATATTCTGTAGCTTTAAGGTGAAATATTCTGAAAACGTCAATTAATTCCATCTGATCTAGTGAGTCATTTAGGATTGTTGTTTCTTTGTTGATTTTTTTTGTCTAGAGGATTTATCCAGTGATGTCCATGGGGTATTAAAGTCCCCTACTATGATTATATTGCTATTGATGTCTCCCTTGTTATCTTCCAGAAGTTTTTTTTATGTATTTGGGTGCACCTGTTTTGGGTGCATATGTGTTTACCAGAGTTAGGTCCTCTTGTTGAAGTGCTCCCTTTAGTATTATGAAGTGGCCCTCCTTATCTTTTGTTATGGCATTTACTTTGAGGTCTATTTTGTCAGATGTAAGTATTGCTACCTCAGCTTTTTTTTTTTTTCATTTCCATTTGCCTGAAAAAAATTTTCCCCATCCCTTCACTATCAGTCTATGTGAGTCCTTTGTTCTCAGGTGGGTCTCTTGTAGACAGAAAATATGTGAGTCATATTTTATTTTCCATTAAGTTACCCTATATCTTTTGACTGAGGCATTTATTCCATTGAAGGTTGAAGGTTATTATTGCTAGGTACTTGTTTGTTGCCATTTTCATTCTTTATGCCTGTGTTCCTGCTGCCCTTTCTATTACTTCTTTTTACAGCAGTCCTTTTAGCATTTCTTGCATTGCTGGCTTGGTGGTAATAAACTCTCTTGACCTTATTTTTTTTTTGGTCTGTGAAGCTCCTAATTTCACCTTCAATTTTGAATGATGGCTTTCATATATATATGAATAACAAGCAACCGGAATGACGGAATGACCAGAACTACCAGAACAACTGGTCGCTATGATGCCCCCCCCAGCAGCCAATGAGAGAGAGAGAGAGAGAGAGAGAGAGAGAGAGAGAGAGAACCCCCCAAAACAAACAAATAAACCATATGTCCTATGTCCTTTCTGGCTCAGATTTTTTTCACCAGCCTTGTCTAATTCATCAATTCTGGGAAGGTGATATTTGATTTAGTTGTTTCTTTTTTTTTTTTTAAATATATTTTATTGATTTTTTACAGAGAGGAAGGGGAGAGATAGAGAGAGTTAGAAACATCAATGAGAGAGAAACATCGATCAGCTGCCTCCTGCACATCTCCTACTGGGGTTGTGCCCCCAACCCAGGTACATGCCCTTGACCAGAATCGAACCCGGGACCTTTCAGTCCGCAGGTCGACGCTCTATCCACTGAGCCAAACCGGTTTCGGCAAGTTGTTTCTTCTATCTGCTCCAAGAGAAGGCACAGGACACATCTATCTATTTGGCTGCCATTTGCTTCTCAAAAACTTGTTTTTATAATTTTTAAATTTGCTTTAATAAATATAGCTTTTTAAATTTTTTTAATTAAATCTTTATTGTTCAGATTATTACATTTGTTCCTCTTTTTCCCCCATAACTCCCCTCCACCCAGTTCCCACCCCACCCTCCGCCCTCACTCCCCACCCACTGTCCTCATCCATAGGTGTACGATTTTTTTCCAGTCTTTTCCTGCATCCCCCACACCCCTTTCCCCCCCAAGAATAGTCAGTCCATTCCCTTTCTATGTCCCTGATTCTATTATAATCACCAGTTCATTCTGCTCATCAGATTATTTATTCACTTGATTTTAGATTCACTTGTTGATAGATGTGTATTTTCTTCTTCCTCTTCTTAAAGGATACCTTTCAGCATTTCATATAATACTAGTTTGGTGGTGATGAACTCCTTTAGCTTTTTCTTGTCTGTGAAGCTCTTTATCTGACCTTCACTTCTGAATGATAGCTTTGCTGGATAAAGTAATCTTGGTTGTAGGTTCTTGGTATTCTTCACTTCGAATATTTCTTGCCACTCCCTTCTAGCCTGCAAAGTTTCTGTTGAGAAATCAGCTGACAGTCTTATGGGTACTCCCTTGTAGGTAACTGACTTTCTTTCTCTTGCTGCTTTTAAGATTCTCTCTTCATACGGGAGAAATGGGACTATCTGGCATCGGTCAGAACTCGAGGGCAGCTTTCCCTCTGAAGGCAGGACTGAGAGCAGCCATACTGCTCGCTCTGCCCACCCTGTTGATCCCCTGGGACCCTGCCCCGCCCAAGCCGTGCACGGAGGCTTTTGCATATGAAAGGCCTGGCCCTTTGTAATCTGAAAATTACTTAACAAACTGCAGCTGCCCCAAGGCCCCAAGGCAACTTGCATTGCTTTACAGCTGGCTTCTGCTGGGTAGCCTCAGGCAGAGGCTAGATTAGCACCTCCTTAGATCCAAGAGCCAGTGTACCCAGTGGTCAGAGTGGGACCATCCAATTACAACTCAGATCCATAAGGGACACACTCAGGGGGCAAACTCAGTGAGCACCAAAGCCCCACTGAAGCAAGTCTTGTTCCATAAGGGTGTCTTCAGCACAGAAGTTCTCCCACCTTAGGTACAGCTGATTCTCACAGCCAATTGGCCTGGAGGTCAAATCCTCCCAGTGTTACCCACAACAATCAAGGCTTAACTACAACAAGACTGTGCACAAAGCCCACAAGGGGGTGCATCAAGAGTGTCTACCTCAGGTAATTGGGGAGGCTGAGCCACTGGGCCCTATAGGACACTTAGCACAGAAAGCCACTCTATCGACACAGCGAAGCATAAAAAAATGCCGAGACAAAGAAACAGGACACAAATGACAGAAATGGAGGAAAGCAAACTACTGGATATAGAGTTCAAAACCACACTTTTAAGGTCTTTCAATAATTTTCTAGAAACCGCCAATAAACTCAATGAGACCCTCAAGAAATCTAGTGAGACCCTCGATGTTGTGATAAAGAACCAACTAGAAATTAAGCATACACTGACTGAAATAAATAATATTATACAGACTCCCAACAGCAGACCAGAGGATCCCAAGAATCAAGTCAAAGATTTGAAATACAAAGAAGCAAAAAACACCCAACTGGAAAAGCAAAATGAAAAAAAGAATCCAAAAATATGAAGATAGTGTAAGGAGCCTCTGGGACAGCTTCAAGCATACCAACATCAGAATTATAGGGGTGCCAGAAGAAGAGAGAGAGCAAGATATTGAAAACCTATTTGAAGAAATAAAGACAGAAAACTCCCCCTACCTGGTGAAAGAAATAGACTTACAAGTCCAGGAAGCGCAGAGAACCCCAAACAAAAGGAATCCAAAGAGGACCACACCAAGACACATCATCATTAAAATTTTTTTATATGAGTTAATTTGAGCCAAACTGATGAAGTATGCTTCATCAGGGAGAAAGATTTCAAATCATCCTTAGAATAACAGTTTTCAGTTTCTTTTATGCACTTGAAACTAAGGAGGCGGGACAGTAAGGAAGATTCATGGAGGTGGAAGAAAGCAAGGTGGGGAGTGGATTGCAGGATAGCTACCAAGATAATGTGTTCTCTTGAGAGTGGTATGGCTTATTTCAAAGGTGTGTTAGCCACATTAAAACATTTTGAAAAGTATTCATTATTTTGAATAAGTACAGCTTTTGGATTTCTGATTATATTCTTGAAATAACTACAGATAATTATCAATATTCAATTATAATTATTAATGATGTCTCCAATTTCTTCATAGTCACTGTTGGTGAGATATTTTAGTTGCATAACTAAATTTGTATTTTCTTAAATACAAATTTTAAAATCTTTTTCATGTCCATTCTTTTATTTTTTAAAAATATTTTTATTGATTTTTAGGGAGAGACAAAGAGAGAAAGAAACATCCATGTGCAAGAGAAACATTTATTGTCTTCCCCCTACCGAGCCTACAACCTGGGCATGTGCCCCAACCTGGAATCGAACCAGCAACCTGCCAGTGCACAGGATGACATCCAACCAACTGAGCCACACAGGCAAGGGCAATTCTTTTAAATTGCATTTGAAGAACACAAATACTGTTTTCTTTGACTTACAAATTTAATGGATTTAAAATCCAATTCAAGTCTTTCATCCAGTGTTTCAAAATAAGGAGTTTTACCTTCTAGAATGTGCATGCAATGTTAAGATAAGCCCTTTGCAGTTAATTTGCACATATCAACTGCAGATTGACAAAAAGCGTCTGATATAAGTGAGGACAGAGTTTGGGTGTTGCTCTTTAAGCTCCACCAGGAACCCCTGCCTGGCCTCTTTGTTCCTCCAATCCACCACAGGTGGAGCCACATTTGGGCTCCTTGAGCACTGCATTTTGAACTCTTCCTGTTGCTCTATGGGGTCCGTTTCCTGATGGGCAGCAGCATTCAGTGCAGTGGACTGAAGACTAAATCTAGGCAGTTGATCAAGCAGAGTGTGTAGTTGCTCTCACCAAACAGAGTTAGACAGAAGTTGCTCTTCCCATTTGCTGCTCATCTTGCAGAGCCATCTGAAGCACTCAAGTGGTGGGAAAATTGTTATAAGACATGCTTAAGGATGGAGCATGAAATCCTACTGGCATCTGTACTGGTACATGGTGCCTTCAACTAAGTGAGGGCCTATTTCCAAATCTCATGAAAGTGTAGAAGATAACAGGTAAGGGACAAAATTTCATGGCAACTATCTCATTTAGGGTAAAGAAACTTATCTGCTGCATACTCTAGAACAGAGGCTGCTTCCTACTAATGGCATAGAGGGGAAACTGTGGAAAGGATACAGAGACCTAAGAAGCTGTTGAGAGAGCTGATAGAGAAAGGTGGGGAGGATCTTAGCAAAGAGTTCCAGGGTGTTAGTGCAAAGCTCTTCACATAGCTAATTTTTGAATCAAATACTTTCATAGAAACTCACTGCAAGATTAAAATGCCGAATACAACTTTTACAATAGTTATTTTGTATTTCTTCCACACAACACATGATGTTTTTGAAAAAAGAAAAGCAGGAAAAAGTCATATATATATATGGCAAGCGACCAGAATGATGGAATGACCAGAACTACCAGACAACTGGTCGCTATGATGCCCACTACGGCAGCCAACCAGCCTGATTAGGGACCCTATCAGCCCCCCTCCCCCAACCTCCACTGGCCAGCCACACCCCCAGTCGGCCCCTCTACACTGATCAGGGGCAGGGCTGGCTGGCCAACCTCCTGCGTCCTCTCCCCCTCTCCCCCGCCAGCCTGGCCCCGATCGGCCCTTACCAGGGCAGGCCAGCTGGACCCCACCTGTGCACAAAATCATGCACCAGGCCTCTAGTGTTTCTATAAAGTCTCAGGAGGAGTTGGAAGATGATGTAGCAGTTAGAGGGTCTCTCAGACTACTGAGAGTGGCAGCACCCCAGCTCTAGTTAGGGGGTCTTATTTTCTACAGGGATTTAGAGTACTTTACCAGCTGCCAATAATACTTTGCTCAATCTGTCAGATGTTCTTGTAAATTTCTTTAGGGACTTCACTTGGTCCAACCTGGCTACTTCCTCAGGCTACACTGAAATCACCAGCTAGTGATTTCATTTTAGTACCCACTCACCCTTTTGTATTTGTAACTTACTTATCTGAAAGTGACAATCCTGGCTCTTGATATACTAGCATATATATCTCATCTTCTCTGTGTGAGACCAATTTCTCACCTATTTCTACCCTTTCTTCTACATGAATGCCCCCCTCAACCCTCTCCAACGCTATGCTGGGCACTCCCTCAACATGGATGTCTCCTTACCTTGTTTGGGCTCTGGCTTGTCCTACATTTCTCACTGTGCTCTGGCTCTGACACTCATCCAAGAACTCTCTCCCCCCATGAACGTTTATCTCCCCATGTCAGGCTGCCTCCATGGGTTGCTATCCATTCACTGCTTGGGCTCTGACCCCTTGTTGTGTGCCACCTCAATTCCCCTTCTACATCCTGTCCCCACTGCACAGCCAGCACAGATGTTGGCTTTGTTCTGTCTTACCCAAACAATTTGAGACTGGATTATTCAGAAAGAGAAGGAAAGAAAGGAAAAGAGAAAAATGGAATGCGGAGAGGAGGGAAGGTGACCCCTTGCTTTGTAAAGTAAAAGAAAACTGAGAGATGGAATGGGAAATAAGCCTCTCCAAGCAGTTTTTTAAAAGCCCATACGGGGCTTGAGGGTACGAACATTCATCTTGTTCACACTACACCTATCTGAGTAGCTTGCAGAGTCTTTTCACACCCTCATGTGTATGTACACTTTATTTTGAAGACCACTGACCTAGGTGTCATGGATTAAGCAACAGAATGCAAACAGCTGGGAAGCACTTCCCACCTCAGTATCTTGGCAAACAGGCCCCCTCCCCTTTTAATTTTCATAATTAATATACCCTAACCTATGCTGTTCTACCTGCTATCCCTTTCCCTCCTCATGACCTCTCTCATCCCCCTATCCCATCAAGAAGCACAGCTCTCTCCATCCACACCACCTCTGTGCAGGAGAACCTTTTACAGAACACTAACTTGGTCTTTCTTCAAACTGCCTCCTCCTCTCATTTTGAGAGTGACTCCCTTCACAGGCAGGGACTCCAGACTTACCTTTGCTTTGCTGTGGGGCTGGGTTTCTCCTGATCTGTGGTAGCTCTGGTTAGAGACTTTTCTCTCAGGAGCTCAGAGCTGAAAGCTGGAGGTGGGCTTGGTTAGAGGAAGGATGTATAGTGGTGCTGAAAAGAGAGGAGCTTCATGAGACGGTGAACTTTGGACTTGGGATGGGAACTTATGTGTGACATATGCAGAGTGGAAACAAATTCTAAGCTTCACAAAGGAATATTATGAATGCTTTTTATTATTTCTGGAATATGAAACTGATAATCAGACATGTATCTTGGTAATGGTCAAGAACAAAAGAGCATATAACTAGGTATATTGTTTACTATAAATTAATGATTAACATCAGCAATTCATTTTGAAAGGTTGTATGTAAGGTTCAGTGAACCATGCACTTTGATACCCTTTCATTCTTCTCAATCCTCCTTTCTCACTGCTAGTCTTCTCAGCTGCCTCATTTTATTGACCAAAAGAAGCCATTGAATGGAAACATTCATTTCCTATACACCAGATCTGCATACCTGTCCCCACTCTCCCCAAACAAAGCCCAATTTCATCCATCTGTAAGTTCTCCTTTTCTGTTGTAATGGAGAATGTAGCTTTCTATCTCCTTGCCCTATCCATGGTTGGCAAACTGTGCCTCCTGAGCCACATGCAGCTCTTTGGCCCTTTGAGCGTGGCTCTTCCTAAGCCTTAGGAGTACCCTAATTAAGTTAATAACAATGTACCTACTTATATCGTTTAAGTTTAAAAAACTTGGCTCTCAAAAGAAATTTCAATCGTTGTACTGTTGATATTTGGCTCTGTTGATTAATGAGTTTGTCGACCACTGCCCTAGGTCTTCTTATCACTTTGTGAACTCAGAATTTGTGTATTGAATCCTGTTCTGCTTGAACTCTAGAGCATATTCAATTTCCTACATTTATGCTGACTGATACAGTAAAGCCCGAGTTTTTTCATCTGTTAAATAGGTTTAATAATAATACCTACATCTGGGAAAGATGGGTCTTTCCTTGGGTTCCACACTTTAGAGCCCTCACATATCATATGTACTTACAAAATGAATTTATTAAAGAAAATGTAGACAGCACTGTCACTTGGTAGTTAGTGCTCAGTACAAAGGGCCCCCTCAAACATCCACTCTCATAATTAACATTATTTAGGCCCAGGAAACATACCTCCATAGTTTTGGCCTGTATCCTGTAGAACTAAACGGTATCTGAATGCAATAAAAGTTTGTAGTCTGAACTGTGGTGGTTTTGTGTGTGTGTGTGTGTGTGTGTGTGTGTGTGCCAATTTCAAATATAGTTTAAGACATTGCATTGTGCCTTTACACTGCAGTGCCTAGAAAGTACAAGATTATTTCCATTTACTTGTTCCACATTCAAGTATTGTCAATTATTTATTATAGCAGCTCAGCCTTAAAATTTTCATGGAATTAACTACACTTTGAATTTTTCAATGTTTTGCATGGAACAAGAACTAAATGCTTGTTCAGGTTGCCTTAATCAAGCTCTTCACACTGGGCCCAGAAGGGAACCACCGGGGAGAGGAGTTCCATCACTAGGAAAGCCCCAGGCATTCCCCTGGCTTACCTCCTGTACTCCGAGACAGCTTGGGAATCATAGGGCTGCAGACTTTCTCCAGTTCTTTCTGCTGATAATAAAATTCTCCCTTCTCTGATTTTTATCAAGCCAGGTGATGATTTCATTACAGTTGTCAGGAATCTTCTGTTTACCCTTGAGCGTAACTGAAGTTTTTCATCTTCGGCAATTGCCTTTATGTTGATTGCAAAGAGTTTAAGTGAATTTTTGGAAGATACCTTGTCCCACTGCTTCTTCTCTTCAGCGTTGTACTTCTTAACTTCTTGGACCATTTGTTCACTGTCTTCCTTGATCAAACGGTTAGTAATCTTGTTCTCTTTTCCGGTACTTATCCACAGGAACAACATTGAAATTGCCATTGCCATTTATATCACACACACAAAACCACCACAGTGCAGACCACAAACTTTTATTGCATTCAGATACCGTTTAGTTCTACAGGATACAGGCCAAAACTATGGAGGTATGTTTCCTGGGCCTAAATAATGTTAATTATGAGAGTGGATGTTTGAGGGGACCCTTTGTACTGAGCACTAATTACCAAGTGACAGGGCTGTCTACATTTTCTCTAATAAATGCATTTTGTATGTACATATGATATGTGAGGGCTCTAAAGTGTGGAACCCAAGGAAAGACCCATCTTTCCCAGATGTAGGTATTATTATTAAACCTATTTAACAGATGGAAAAACTGGGGCTTTAGTGTATCTGAGGGACATCACAGAGTTCAAGTGGTATGTCTGTAAGTTCAAACTTGCCAGGTTGGTTGTTATCCTTGGTTAAGGTGCACTCCACATCATAAAAAGAGCACACCTGGTTGGTAATCAGAGTAGGTAGTGAAAGACTACATCTGCTTCAGGGCCAATTATTTATATCAGACTGCTGGTTCTTGTTTAGGAAAACTAGTAATTAATGATGCAATTTCTTCCTTTAAAATTTTTTTCACAATATTACAGATGTCCCTCATTTTCCCCTTTGCTCCCCTCCAAACAGCCCCCTCGCCACACCCTATCACCACATTTTTGTCTATGTCCATGGGCTTTCCATATATACATATATATGCATTTGGTTAATGTCTTCCAGGCCCCCTACCCCCTTCCTTCTGAGATTGGTCAATCTATTACATGTATCCATGCTGCTGGTCCTATTTTGTTTTTCAGTTTATTTTGTTCATCGTTTGTCTTATATTAGGGAGATCATGTGATATTTGTCTTTCTCTGACTGGCTTATTTCGCTTAGCATAATAATGTTGAGGTCCATGCATGCTATTTCAAAGGGTAAGAGTACTTTTGTTTTTATAGCCACTCAGTATTTCATTGAGTAGATGTACCAGAGCTTTTTTACCCACTCATCTACTGATGGGCACTTGGGCTGTTTCCAGATCTTTGCTATTGTAATTAATGCTGCCATGAACATAGGCATGCATATATTTTTTCTGATTGGTGTTTCTGAATTCTTAGGATATATTCTCAGAAGTTGGATTGTTGGTTCAAAAGGCAGTTCCATTTTAATTTTTTGAGGAAACTCCATACTGTTTTTCACAGTGCGACAACAGTCTGCATTCCTACCAGCAGTGTACGATGGTTCCCTTTTATTCACATCCTCACCAGCACTTGCTGCTTGTAAATTTATTTACAGTAGCCATTCTGACAGGTGAAGTGATACCTTATAATAGTTTTTATTGGATCAAGCCGAAGGTCTGACACTGGCAGTGAATGATTGAAGTGAAGTGGGTCTCTGCACTGTCCCTATTTCTGGAACACTTGTTGCCTTTCCCTTTACCACTCTTACTGGACAGCTTCTACTCACTCTTCAGTCATCAGGTGCAATATTACCTGAAAGAAGCTTTTGTTGAGAAAAAGTGCCTAAAATACAAAAATAAGGCAAAAACAAATTTCTATGTCTTTTAAATATCATGTGACTAATACGTTATCTAATAAATGATTTAGCATGATCATGTGACTTAGGGAAATAAAACTTTATTATGGTTTTATTGACCAGTAGAATATTAACTGAGCAGTCTTATTTAGGATTGAAATATTTTACTGTTTTTGATACAGCTTTGTTATCTGCCCTTTCTCTCATTCATGAGTTAATTAAAATTATGGCCCCTTATTTCTATGTATTTCATGAGAATTATGTTTTTAAAATTTTGAAAATCACACTTTAAGTTCTCTTCTTTGCCTTTCCATAATCCATCTCTCCTTTGAGTTTTCATGGCACCCTGTGCTTGCTATACATTGTGTTATAACAGAGTTTAAGTCTTTAAAATATATGTATTAAATTCCTTTCATGTGCCACATATGGTGATAGGTGTTAGTGAAACTGTGGTGAGCGATGCAGACATGGACTAGCCCTGAAAGGTTTTTTTTTCTTTTGGACAGATGTTTCTCTTACTGGAGTGTAAGTTTCATAAGTATAGACTATGTCATTTTCAGTATTAAGCTTTGTGCTGGCCCACAAAAGTCGCTCAATAATATGTATAGGATAAGTATGTAGATGAATGTATAATGGTGTAAATGTGGCATTCATAGAACTGAGATGCTAGTATGTGACGTGAACTGTCTCCTTGGACTGGAAGTAATCTAAGGTGATGGCAGGCATTGTGTTGGAGAGGCAGACTGTACCTCAGTTGTAAGTAAATGGATAAGAGTGACGGGCTTGTGACAAAACCTTAAAAAAAGGAGGTATTTACATGATTGGGAATAGGAGAAAGGGCTGGAATTGACCCTGGGAATTGAATGCAATGCAAGGAAGGTAGGATTCTTAGGGAATATGTAGGTTTTAATTCAGACAAAGATGTAAACAGTATTTGAGGGAAGGATGGAAGATGTCCTGGAAGTTATTGTCAATGGAATAAATTTCTAGAGGGCCCAGAGGAAAAGTTTGGTTTTTGGATATTGGGAAGAGTGGGATATTGATTCAAATTAGAGGATGAATGGGGGTGAGTAGCCTGTATCACAAGTTAAAACTTAATCATATAT